GTGTAAATTGATAACTCAAGTACCTGAGAAACTAAAGGAATGCAATTTTAAGAGGATATCCCCGTCCACCTAACTTCATTCAGCCATACCCCGTCCACCTAAGTTTCATTCAGCTCGAACCCAGCTCTCAGGTATGCTTGGTAAACATGCATGGGCTCGTAAAAATTTTGTTCCAGTAAGTTGTTAACTTAGGTGCCAAGGGAAGCTAGGAAGTTGAAATTTTAAGGGGATGTTTTCTGACAGTTCTGGTGGCCAGTCTTAATTTGTTTAGCTAGGAAGCAAAAAAAATCGGTGCCGGTAGCAACAAAACTGCGGGCAACCATGCAAAAAAAATTGGCCAACGCACGGGCAGGCCGTGCGTTGGCCAATTTTTTTTTTTATTTTCCTTTTCTTTCTGTTAAACAAATGTGAATTTTTGAGGACTTTTCATTTCGTGTCAACGGGAAACAAACAAAAATTGTGGTGTGTTGCATCAAAAATTGTGGTGTGTTGTCATTTGGTGGAATTATTTTTTTAGCCTTTGCCTTTACTACAATCTTTTTAGTCAGTTACATCGAGCGTCGTATTCAGGCGCGGATATCTGTGCACATTCCTCGGAAACGCCCTCACTTTCCACTGCGGTAAATGCTTTTGTTTGCATTTCTGCTACTGTTGATCATGCATTTTTTTCTATGCAGATTTTTCACTGTAAGATGTTTGGCGAGACCATCTGGCTGTGTTTTGATAAGTGAAAAGTCAGCACGGGTAATCTTCTTAGTCCGGTGCTTCTTTCGTCAACATGCGGCATGTTTTCAGCAGTCGCTGTCCACCTCTCAGTTGCCGTCTACTTCTTGGAACCAGTTTCAGAGTTCGAATGTTACACAAGGTCAGCACTTTTTTTTCTTTACGTTTATAATAAGACCCCCTGGTGATAAGTTTTTATTCCACGATGAACTCTTCTTCAAAGCGTCTTAATTCTGTATGAGAATTGAACTGGTTTTCCAGGGGCATCGCAAACAGGAACTAATCCTTTACATGCAACCAACGTGACACGAAAGCAGACTTGCCACGTTAACGACAGTAATTTTCTGCAAATTGGGAAGATTCCGCCACCCAGGCCGAAACCACCTGCCATCAAACAGGTCTTTCGCTCTGCGCTTGTTTCAGGCACTTTTCGTTGGCAAGTTCAACAAAAAAATTTTTAATCACTGATAACAACCCTTTTAGACATCCTGTAATAACAAACAGCAAAGTGCAACAGCAGCAACAGCATCATCATCGCCTGCAGTGAATTATTCTGTGAATGGTGTACAGGAGGGGCCATCAACTTCCGCGCAATCGAGAATATTGGCAGCGGACGCCTCACTAAACCAGGATAATTCCGACCCTTTTGAGGTGAATTTTATTCATCGCCACTGTCCCGTCTAAAACTTACCTCTTTTAGGGCACTTTGCTGGCTACTTGCTTTTGTTTTTGCACACTGCTTCATCGAGACTGCGCTTTTAGATCTCAATGGCTGTGAAAGATATCGCACACCGAGGCCTCTACAGTGAGCTGTTCAGAGAATTTCCTGTAAGTTTTATGAATGTATCCCAAAAAAGACATTGTTAACATTCCTTTGTGTTTAGTTAAAGACTATGTTTCAAATTTTTTTTTGTAAATTACCGGTATGTTCCAGCAGCAAGCGTACATTTAGTGATTTCGCAAAGTAACGAAATCTCATCAAACATCTGGGGGGATATTAACATGACTCAGTGAGCTATAGCGGCAACCTTTGACACAGTAACTGCCAGAGTTCAACCAAATATGAGTTTCTGTACAAAGTTTCTGTAGATTTTGTTTTGATAAAAATTTTTCGTCACTGCTTGCAGCAGCTCATAGACTTGTTCTGCAGGCATCGACGAGTTCGTCACCAGGTGGCTTATCTGGACAATCGGACCGGAAACAGCTTTATAATTCAAAGCTTTCACCACCTTCCGCAGGCTCTCTCGGCCATAATCAGTCTTCTTCGAACGCCACCAATTCATTAGCCACATCTCTTGGTTTTACACAACAGCCTGCTGGAATTGGGGTAATTCTTACGCTCTTCAGATTGTGACAGTTACACAAAAAGCGTGCTGTCACTTTCTTGTTCATGAATATGTTTGTTGTATATGTGTGTGTTCAAGTGTATTTTGTCTCGGGTTTCCAACACAAAAGCCATTAAAGCCAGAAGCTGAAATTTTAGGATTACGTTACCTGCTTATATGCGACCTCGCAAATTTGGATTCGGCCTTTGCTGACGCCCAGCCTCACATACGGAAACGCAAAAAATCGACAAAAAATTTTTTAATTTAGAAACAAGACAAAATT